TCCTGCTCTAACTTTCTTGAACTGCTGTGTGAACTCAGGAAAATGTTAAAAAACATCAGAGGGGCTACATCTATTCAAAAATTGTTGAATGCTTGAATGCCTGAAGCCCAATTGAGCACAGTTAAGTGTCTCAGTCCAAAATTATTTGCATGGAAAGAGAATGTTTGTGACTGTAGCCAAGGGTTTGTTGCCACTGTTGCTTGCTCCTACGGTGTAAATCCAGGGGATGTGCATATATGTGAAATGCAGAGATAACTAAGATGGAGAAAGGAATTATTCCTAGGTCTTACAGTTCTTGGTTGCATGATCTCCCTAATAGATTTGAATAGGAGGGGAAAAACAACTCCCCTAACCTGCTGTGATTAACCTGGCACTGTGTTGATTAGCTGTTGGTGGCTCAGCATTGAGGGGCTTGGGATCCCATTAGTATCTAATGGTTCATATGCGGTGTACCGGGTACTGAATTCAGGATCCTGGACTCCCCAGGAAACAATTTCCTAACATACAGATGTATGAGTCATTTATGAGACTTTACATTTCTAATGATCATTCATCCCACTTGCTCTTGCAACCGAAGCAATAGGAGCAGCAGTTATTTATGACATTTTCCATTCAGAAACACTGGCAAAACCTACTGGAAATGCCGCTTGGCAGGACCTTGTGGTAGGGATTTCCTGCGAACAACCCCAGAGGACAGCCGGGTCCTGCAGAGTCTCAACGGCAGCCAGGTAGCCAGTAGCGTCCGGATGAATCTCCGGTGCTATTGGCGTTCTCCAGACTAAGGGCCCTTCCAAGCGTGGATAGAGACCAGGCGGATACGGACCCGAGAGACGGGGCAGTGGGGAGCCCCACGCTGTGGGCAGTGCGAGGGGAGCGCATGGGGCAGGCCCGTGGAACGGGGCAGGCCCGAGGAACGATGCAGGCCCCTGGAACGCGCCGCGTCGCACACTCACCGCGCCGGGCGTTGAGGAACAGGACGAAGCCCCGCGGGTCGAGCCACTGCCGCGCGGCGCCGCTCGCGCCGCCCAGCCTGCAGCGCAGCTGCAGGGCCTGGCCCTCCTGCAGCGTCACGGTGTCACCAGCCGCTCCTGGAAAACACCCTGCCGGCAAAGAAGGGGAAAGAGGCATCAACGTGTGACGTGACAGCAGTCCTGCCCGAGTAATGTGGCACCTCCTGCCTTTTCTGAACGTTTTTCTGTGTGACACACCTTGCCAATATGGTTGTATTGGCAGAACTTAGTCACTAGACTGGTGTAGCTCCCCAAAAAGATATTCTTCCCAATAAAGTATGTTGGCTTGCACAGTTAATACTTGCAGTGCAGAAACCCTCTGTGGAAGCGATTGCCAGCGGCGTGACAGGAACCTAAAAGCCTGCTGCAGTTATTTTACAGACAGGCCATAAAGTGTTTTATTTATTTATTTTTTCTCTAGACATTCTGCAATATGTAATACACTTTGTGAAAGTATTTTCTGACCTAGAATGAATTGTCTTCTGGTGTAAAAGCCTGCCGTGGAGAAATTGCTAAGAGCAGTGCCGGGGTCAGAGTTAAGTATATAGGCAGTAAGAGGATTTTATTTTTCATTCCTGTTTTGTGTGTTGCAGTTTTATTTTTCAGTTAGCTGTCTGCAGCAAGTTCCTGCAGGGTATGCGAGTGCTGTGGCTTGGGGAAATGAATCTTTTTGGCCATAAGGAAAGTTTTCAATTTCCTTTAAAATATTTTAAAAAATAACAGAAACGAAGATATTTTAGCATGTTCTTGCTGGGCCTGATCTTTTGTCACAAAAATCAGAGGGCGACTTGTCTCTATGTGGAAAAAATGGTTTATCCTGTGGAGCTGTTGATGTTCCTCGGCTTGGGGAAATGAATCTTTTTGGCCTTAAGGAAAGTTTTAATTTTCTTTAAAATATTTTTAAAAATAACAGAAACAAAGATATTTTAGCATGTTCTTGCTGGGCCTGATCTTTTGCCACAAAAATCAGAGGGCGACTTGTCTCTATGTGGGAAAAAATGGTTTATCCTGTGGAGCTGTTGATGTTCCTCCTCGTTGATGAGTACAGGGGGCATTTCTTGTCTGGGATAGCTTGCAGGGGAGTGGTAGTATAAGGAAAACCTCCTTGCATTAGTTCCATTTATAGAAACTTGTGTCACAAACTCCTGTTCTTAAAGTAGCTGCCAGGGCCTAGTCTGTGGTTTTCCTCAGGGCTTTTCTGCATTTTTACTGTTTCCTGTAAGCAGCAGCAGAGCGGAGTGTGTCAGGTTGCACCCTCAGAGGTGAGAAGCCCTCCTGGTGAAGGAAAGTGGGGGTTTTGCTTCCCCCGGAGCGGGTCACACTCGTACTTTCCATGCGTGACCACGGCGCCATTCAGGCCGTGACTCACGGGCCGAGTTTCCTTTCTCTTACGGGGGGTGGTCTGACGTGGCTGTGGCCTCGGAGCCGCTGCGGCCCGGGGCGCCCACACATCGGGGTGCGAGGTGCGCCAAGGACACTGGTGCCACAGCCAGAGCTCCTGCCTCCTGCAATGAACAGTTCACCACCAGGTCTTTGGAGAACAAGAGAAGGAACTTGACCATAAAAGACTTAGACCCCTTCATTGCAGCACAGGGAAGGAAGAAATCGCAAGATTCAAATGCCTCATGCCCTTGCTTGTGTTTTAGCCTTCGGAAAACTCAGAGAGAAATTACTATGTCATTTCACTGTTATATTTAAGCCTGTAGCCTAGAGAGACATCCTGTTTAATCGGTTATTTTTGACCTCTTGCTGCAGCGTGTGCGTGTTAATCGTAGCGGTCCCGTGCAAGCCGACCAAGAGCACCTAGGTACTGTCTGTAGGCACAAGTTCACAGGGCAGGAGCTGCTGGGAGTCCTGTGGGAAGAGGGATTTTGCACCCAAAAGGAGTGAAGGCTGCTGAGCTGGAGCAAGTCTAACGAGCAGAGCAAAAACTAGTCCAGCTAGGACATAACTGACAGGTTCTTAAGGCCCGACTTCTGTTAAACACAATCAATAACAAGAAAATATTCCCAAGGCTGTTTTGGTATTCGTTGACAAGGGAGATAAATTGTTTTTTTGATCTGATTCATACACGCGTATCTCCTATAAAGATCAGGAATCCCTACCTGTAGGTAACTGTCCTGCTACTTCTGCTACTCAAGTCTTTTGATATTGGACTTGGTCAAATATCAATTTCACAGTTGTGTATAGAAGAGGAGATTAACAGAACAGGTATAAGCTACATCTTCTATAACAGGATATTGAGCATTTCAAGTGCTTTATATTTTCAAAGCACTTTGCAAACACTTTCTGAACTACCCAGACTTTTTGCATCAGCATCTATTTACAAAATGCACGAACAAAGTCCCACAAAGATATCCAAGCCACGACAGGTAGGCAGTGATCCCCTCTCCATACTCAAGGGAGAATCTTTTGATTTCCCTGAGTTTTTCCCCTGGAGCACACGAGGGGATGAGCTGGTCTCGCCGATGCTGTGTTTAGCTGGCGGTCAGCACCGCGACCCAGCTCAGAGAGGGAGAGGAGCAGCGGTCCCGCGCGCGGAGCGGCCCCGTGCCCGTCCCGTGCCCGCGCAGCCGCTTACCTGGCGCGAGGAGCAGCAGCGCTGCCGCGTGTAGCACCCGCGCGAGGCTCATGCTGCGGCGCGGCGCCGGCTTCCTCCTCGCTCTGCGCGTGCACACGAGCAGCAGCTCCCTTTTCGGCGGCGGGGAGATTTACCATGACTTCACCACCACGCTCTGTGCCTTTTATTTCTTTCTTTTTTTTTTTTCCTACTATTACGCTCTCTTCTCCCTGCTTCTCACCTTTCTTGTGCCGTGGTGGTTGCTGAGAAATAACCGTTTTCACAGTTGCCCAAAGCAAAGCAGTGGGCGACAGGAGTGGGACATGTTGACCTTATGTCCCCTCCAACTCTGTCTTACTCAGTGCCCATGTGGGGGAGAGCTTTAGCAGAAAGCACTGTAAAAGGCCACCAAGCTTAATACACTCATTTGGTTTGCAAACTGGTAAAATTACAGCTGCAGGAAGAACCCAGAGCAAGAAAGCAGGTACATATTGTAAAGCTAGGCAGTTCTCTGGCTTAACTTTGTGCTGCCAGTTCTGCATACCCAACCTGTTAATAAAACAGCTTTTGGGGGATCAAGCCATAGAAATCACACGGGAAGCACCTACCTTAGGCAAAACATCCTTGTGCAGCACAGGGGAAGAAAAGCTCATGATGGTTTTGTGCCATCTGCTGTCAAATAAATGAACTTCACCTGTTAAATAAATGAACTTCACGCCCAGGGAAGGAAAGGCCGGGCACACTCGGCATCTGCTAATCAACTCCCCAACCGTTTCTGTCAGACGTCTGAGAAATCCATTTAATGTGATAAGCAAATTAAAATGCAGTGGTTGTTTCAACAGTTGTTAGCATTTGAAATTGAGGTTAAAAACAACCCACCGATTCCCCCAAATAATAATAAAAAAATACAGATGTCACAGGTAATTACAGCTATTTTTGGCAATACAATTATTGTTTTTTTAACAGCAAACATTTTTTTTCAAATAAATACAATCTGCTCACGCTAAAAAACATAATAATGGTACAACAGGTTTTAAATGAAAAGAAAAAAAAGTTTCCATTGTTAACATCAAGTTTTAAGAACTGTCCACAAACTCCAGAAAATACATTTTAATGGGAAATAATAGAAAGGAATATTTTACTCTTGGCATATTTTCAGCTTTATTACTTAATTGGAAAGAGAGAGGGAAAAAAATAGGAACTGTGGTTTGGCTTCTGTACGGTAATGAGACTGTTGGGATATGATGCAGCTCACAGTGAAGACAAGGAACAGACTTAGACTCATTTTAGATAGATCAAGTCTAATGATCTCTGAAGCTATGCTAAATATACGCTAATGAGTATCAGTAGAATAAAAGTGAAGCAGCAATCCCTTTGCATTTTTAACATTCAAATTGAAAACTTCCAAGGAACATCTTTTTCCTTTTTTCCCCCTATGAGCCTCATGACCATGAGATTATTTAACGCAAAACCCCCAAGGGAAATCAAAATACTCAAAATAAGATTTTCTTTCTGAGATTCTAGACACCTGAAAAATCTGAGATAAGATACTTGTCAAAATATTTTCCCAAACATCCAAAAATATACTTTTTTCTAATGAAGAGAGTATTCTAACATCTCTACCATCTCAAACAAAACACTTTTTTTCTCTCTAACGCATATTATAGGCAAAGATCAGCTAGTATCGTATTCGAATTATGTGCTTTTGGGTTTTGTTCCCTCTCTGTTCCATGCTTCTGCCTACATAAATTCCTTGTAATGCTGCTTACCTGCAGCGGGACCTGAGCAGCCTCTTCTTCGACATGATACACTAAGCTATCTAGAGAATTCTGCACTCATCAAAAAGCACATTAGTTTTGGTGTGATTGTCATGTATTTAGTTTTAAAGAAACTTTGCAACCTTGCAGTGAGGAAGCATGGAGGAAAACAGGCCAGAAATGCTCCTCAGGATGTCTGTACACAGCTGAGAAGAGTTTAAATTATAGCTCAAAGTGGAAATGACAGCAGGATAACTGCACAGGAGCAGCTTCTTCCTGTCATCTCTTAAGTTATCTCCCTGACTCTTCAGTATACGTCCCTGGTATAATAATGCACTTATGAATGGCCTACTACGTCTTACATAGTGGTCAGTGTATAAATAATGGCCTACTGCTATGCATTGTGTGGGTGTACCTATTGCACAGGCGAGCGCTCTTCTGCCTCCATGTGAGTCCAAAGGCTTGAGAGGTTCAAAGAAACTAACCCAAAATCAAACCTGGACTTGGCTATGAATAGCAAGCGTTTGTGAAAACTGGCCAGTAGAAGTTTCTGTGCCATCTAATCCTTTCAAATGAGGATACTAACACTTTCTGCAGAGGGAAAACTGGAAAGAACAGAGGCTTCCTAGGATGTCAAGATTTTTTTTTCTGTGGCACTTCTGAGTGATATTGTGTCTTCTGATGTGCAGACCTTAAGTGATGTGAGTTTGAGTGGCATCACCGCTAGCATCCCGGGTGTGCTCAGCAGGGTGGTCACGCGGACACCTAGTGCAGCGCTGAACTCGAGGAGCAGAATGGCCTGCCGCTCCCTAGAGAGCGATGCTGAGCTCGCCCTTTCCAGCCAGTGATGTTACACTCTGTGAAAGAGGCTGAGAATGTGGGGTTGCTTCTGAGGAAGGCGTCAGCACATGGAGCTGAACAAGCCTGTTAATGCTCTGCAAAAAACAGCAGTAAAAAATACCGTTCTGAATGCTCTACTTTGACACAGTGCTAGTTGTTATTGACATGGTGCAGAAGGCAGTGAAAGTTACTGGTCTTATCAGAGCTCCTTTCAAGGTGGAAAGTCTAGCTCAGCTACTGACCGAGCGGAGGTTCCCCGCAGTGCAAGCGCTCGGACCTCTATTCTAATGCTTCTTCCCCCAAATCAGGCTCTTTTGTGTTTGCCTAGGTGCCTATGAGAACTTTTGTGTGACTATGACTGCTTGAGAGAGATGCTACAACAGCTTTTTTGTGTGATCCACTTAACATACGGTGACTATTTTTCCACTGTCAATAAACACAAGAAAGAAGAGCCGTTGTCCAGTGCTTAGAAAGGCCGTTGTTCGGCTTGGCCTCGTGGCTTTGCCTATTCTTGCAATAAGGTTTCTCTCCAGTTAAAGCCTCCAGTTGGTCCATGTGTGAGAGGGAGGATGGGGGGGTCCGTAAGCTGCCAAACACCGGTGTCCCCCAGCTCTTCACACGAGCAGAACCCCAGGTATGGAATCTGTGGGAAGAGAGACAGAAATCAAGCGGAAGGCCAAGAGCAGGGATCGGGGCCTGCTAGGAGGGAATTAGTGCTGTGCACTTGCAGGTGAGCACCTGCTCCCCTGCTGCCTGTGACACGTGAAGCCACCTTTGGGTCGTGACTTCTGAGAGGGGTGGAAGCCAGTAAGGGGCTGGATCGAGCGAAAGGAGCCAAGTGTCCTCTGCCTGGGTAAGGAGCTCGTAACCTGCTTTCCTTTCTAAAGCCAGGAGGCTGATTACCTTTCGCACCATCTGCACAAAGTCCTTGGAGTTCTGCGGCGAGAGCCCTTGGAGCTGGCAGGTACAAGCCTCCAGGGAGGACGCGTGGGCCACGATCAGGATGTTGTTCCCTGGAATGAGGCAAGGGACACGGCCAGCTTGAGGACTAATAATTCAGATGTGCCAAATAGGTTCAGCTTAGCATCTAACAACACGTGAAATTGTGTACGTGGGGGGAAAAAACGCATTTTATTAACATGGAGCAGTCCTCAGGTAGGCGTATCGGAGCTTGACACTTACCTTTGCCTTTACATTCACTGATGATTTCTTTTGTTACTTGGTAGCTCCTACTTATATACGTATCATAAGATTCTGAAACCACTAACTTGCTGACAGGAATATGAGGTCTGCAAGCACAAAAAGAACAAGTAAATTGAGAGGAAGTTTATTTGTAAGTTACTTAAGCCCTGCCTGCAGCACAACTGAAAGTATGTGTTTCTTTAACTTGCTTAATGACTCAAATTTCCAGAGCCGCTTCTTGTGTCAGGACCACTTCTGCAAATTATTAGGGGAATTTTAAGGATAGTTTTTAAACATCAATACTTAGATCTTTACTATTCCTGCAGTGAGATACTTTGGGTAGCTAGCAAAAGTGGTGGCAAGAATTTCTCTGCTGTGGACCTGTTATTGGAGGCAGCGTATCAGCTGCTTAGTGTGTGTGTAAGAAGTCACAGCTGTGCAGAGTGCTCAGCAGTGTAGGACTGGAACGGTGTGGCCTTCTAGGTTTCCTCCTTTGTGAGAGCTCTTTGACTCTGGCGTGTATAAACGAGCCACAGATGGGAGAGCAGGAAGCTCACCTTGCCTGTTGTTTACCACGTGAGCATTCCTGCTGGTTCCGCAGCCCGTCTGGGCCCGGATGGCCCTTGAAAGCCTTGCTGCAATACGGGTGCATCGCTGGAGGGCACTGCGGCAGAGCAGCTCAGCAGGGCGCTCGGACGAGGGATCCGAGTTTCCCTCCGGACTCGGACTCAAGGTTGTTGCCAGCAGGCTAGCAGGGAACGTGTATTTGTTTGCAGTGATACTGGCAACACTCAGGCTGGGTGTGTGGATGGATAAAAGGAAAGCAACAGAGCCTGGGAGCTACCAAGGGGCTGATCTCCTGTGCAACCCGCAGCCGAAACCCAACCCCACGTCCTCCCGCCACCTTCTGCTACCTGTAGGTTGTATCAACGCTTAGAGTAGCTGCAGCTAAATCCACAGGGGGTATCCAGGCAGGTAGTGTGTTACCAGAGACCCACTTGGTCCATTCGAACAAGCCCGGCTCTATGCGAATTTTCAGGTTGTTCTCTTGTTGCATACCTGAAAAACAGAGGAAAGAGACCAGATAGTGATGGAGGTGGCTGTGGAGGAAGCAGGCAAGGTTTAGCATCTTTAAAACTTCAGTTGATATTCCTCTATGTAGTTACTTGATTAATACTAGGAAAAGATGGAGTATTTGATGGCACTTATACAGGTACTCCAGGTGCTTAACCATATATAATTGTGTGCGTGCGTATGTGTATATATATATTTATATACATATATATATATATGC